CACCTTGTGACTTTCTTGGAGTACAAAATGGCAGCCCAGAAAGAAATAGTTTGTGGGTGACTAGGAGGAAATAAACAGGAGCTCTTTACAGTTCAGAAGGCCATCTCCATACACAAAGCTTACTCCCATGATTTATTAATACACTAGCCAATGAGAGCAGAGGAGGAAATCAGGTGTATATCCTTGAATTCCCCTCACTATTCCCCTCACTGGATATATTGGATGACACTTTCCATAATTCCCAGCCAGCTTGACCAACATTAACACAGTGGGAATGTCAGGATCTTCCTCCTACATTTTACAGGTGCATCCAGTACTTAACTGAGACTGGTAGATAAATTAATTTTGGCATTCTATTCATTTGCCAGGGTAATTAGGGTATTGAAGAGTGATCAATAGTCTAAGACAGAAAGGCACTCAGTAATATCTCCCTCCCGCCATTTGACATTTGTCTACTCTAAGGAGCTTGAAAGAAATTGATTATATATATACCACATTCATGTATGTGTGTGTGTGTGTGTGTGTGTGTGTGAGTGGTGGGATTGAAAAATTTTTACTACCAGTTTTGTGGGCGTGGCATGGCTTGGTGGGCATGGCAGGGGAAGGTTACTGCAAAATCCCCATTCCCTCCCCACCCCACTAACCTGCTTTCCAGCTCCGTTCTCCTGTGCAGAGCAACCAAAGAAGACACAGCCGATCAGCTGGGACTCGGGAGGCAGAGAATAGATGGGGGCAGGGCCAGTCAGAGGTGGTATTTGCTGGTTCTTCAAACTACTCAAAATTTCCACTACCGGTTCTCCAGAACTGGTCAGAACCTGCTGACCACGTCATTATAGTTGTGCTTTTAAAGTTGTAGCAACATTTCAGCAGAATCTCATCTGCCATCATCAGGCTTCTGTATTATGTGTGCTGAATTCATGCATCACAGTCCCTAAAATCCAGATGAACACAATACAGAAGCCTGATGATGGCAGATGAGATTCTGCCGAAACGTTGCTACAACTTTAAAAGCACAACTATAATGACATGGGAAAATACCCGAACAAAGCTGAATACCATACATGTAAGTACCCGTGAAAACTTTAGAAAATATATATGTATGTATGTATGTATGTATGTATGTATGTATGTATGTATATTTTCTGAGGTTCTCGCGGGCAACGTTTCGATGAAGTCTCATTCATCATCTTCAGGGTTGTGTCTTCGGCTCTGTGCTTCTTACTCTGAGAAGCAAAGAGCCGAAGACACAAGCCTGAAGATGATGAATGAGACTTCATCGAAACGTTGCCTAGATACTTCCAATTTTACGCGGGAGAAAACCCGAATAACCAAAGATCCATACACACACACACACACACACACACACAAACACACGCACACATTTTATTCCAAATAACAATACCATTTTAAAAAAGAAAGAGAAATAAATAATTATATTTATATGCTGTTAAACAGTGAAGGTTTTTTCTCTCTCTGTCAGGGACCTCCTGGTCTTCCAGGCCTTGCAGGGCCAGCTGGACCGCCTGGACAGAAGGTAATTCCATCAGTCTTTCCTAACAGTCAGCAAAGATAAAGCCTTTTCCATCTGCTTAATTAAAATTGAATGAATATGATGAAAATTGAACAGAAGCAGAGGAAGATACCGTTCTTCTTATCAGATAATCTTCATCCAGAGATGGATCTCACTGTAAAATGCACTACAACGAAAACACTACGAAAGCTTTTGCGGTGCAAATGGAATTGACAACTTGCTAATAGGAGATTTCCCAATGCAGCAAATGTTTGTCTTTGGTCCTGCTGATCCCCCATCTTCTTTTAATTCATTATTTATTCATATGATTTATATAGCTGCCTATATGTCACAGACATGACTGTGGATAGCTTGCAAGATGGATGGATGACTGTAGCACACACTACAGGGAAAGAAGAAGGGGATAAAATGTGTGTGCCTCATTTTCCTATCTAGCAGAAAATTAGATTGTAGCTGACACAATTATATCCTGTTCACAATCTAAATTCAAGAACAACTTAGCGACCCAAAGAACAAGCATTATTTTCACTCTTGGAACCTAACAAATTTAAGTTATCATTCAACTTTTAGTGCTAATTGATCCACAAATTCTTGAACAAAACTGTTCCCAAATTTCATAAAATTTAGTAAATTTAGTATTTAGTATTTAGTAAAAGTAAAAGTATTGTGTAAAGCAGTGGTTGCCAACCAGTGGGCCGGGGACAAATTTTGGTGGTCCGCAGAGAAATGTCATCCCCCAAAGCACCCCCCAAAGCAATTAATCCAAGCTGCGCGGGAACACAAGCCTGCGCCGCCCACATGGGCCGTGGGAACACAAGGCTTGCATCGCTTGCATTGCGAACAACACGAGGTAGTAAGGGGAGGGGGAAAAGGACAGAAGGGGGGAAACTTGCCCCATGCGCCCCACGTGCCTCACCTGGCCACTGAGCTGCTTCTTTCCACTTCTTTCTTCTTCTTGTTTTGGCTGCACGCAAGGAAAGCAGCAAAAGTCTGTCTTTCACTCCCCCAAACTCCACCAGAAATGAATCTTTGGGACCCTGCAAGGCCTCCTGCTCCAAGTGGCTGCAACAAGTCTCATAAAGACTCATTTATGGTGGAGTTTGGGGGAGAGAAAGAAAGACTTCTGCTGCTTTCCTTGCATGAAGCCAAAAGTCTCTCTCTCCCACCCCCTGAGAACCGAGCTGGAGACGGTATCCTGTGATCCCAAATAAAGAACGATCGATCGGTAGGAAAACGGGGTGGGGAATTTTCCTGCAGACTTTTTTGGGGGATTTTCCCAGGGTCTCTGGTCCATGGGACTTAAAATTATGAGTTTGGTGGTCAACCCTGGTGTAAAGTAAATGTGTATATTGTGTATATAAGTACATCGACAATAAACTATTATTATTATTATTAATAATAATAATATCTTCACATGTCTTCTACAAAGTTCCAAGGTTAATAATTTATATATATCCTTCACTTTTTCCTCTCAGGGTGAAATTGGCTTGCCAGGTCCTCCAGGACGTAATGGAGAAAAGGTAAGGAGTTAGACATGAGAAACAGGTACTATATACCTGTATACATCATTAAATAATCAAAGAGGTGTCTCTGTTCTCTGAAGCTGGAGCTTCCATGAAAAGGCATTCTTGAGTTTAGCTCTGTTCATAAGTGAAGAAAACTGTTTACACAGAATACGGAATAACAGAGTTGGGAAAATCCCTGGAGGTCTTCTAATCCAACTCCTTGCTTGATCAGGAGACCCTAAAGCATTCTAGACAAACGACTGTCCAATCTCTTCTTGAAAACCTCCAGTGATGGACAGTGGTGGGATTCAATTTTTTTTTTTTACTACTGGTTCTGTGGGCGTGGCTTGGTGGGCATGGCAGGGGAAGGATACTGTAAAATCTACATTCCCTCCCCACTCCTGTGGGGGAAGGTAACTGCAAAATCCCCACTCCCTCCCCACCCCACTAACCTGCTTTCCAGCTCCGTTCTCCTGTGCAGGGCAACCAAAGAAGACCCAGCCAATCAGCTGGGACTCGGGAGGCAGAGAAGAGATGGGGGCGGGGCCAGTCAGAGGTGGGATTTGCCGGTTCTCTGAACTATTCAAAACTTCCGCTACCGGTTCTTCAGAACTGGTCAGAACCTGCTGAATGCCACCTCTGGTGATGGAGCATCCTCAATAAGAGACCCCCCAGAGAAATCCAGCAAGGTTGCACAAAGAACTCTTTGATAAATTGAGAGACGAAAAGGACAAGTATGAAAAAAATGGGCATAGGGACATATAACTAAAGGAGAATATCAGCAAATACTGGGAATCTGCAAAGATGAAATCAGGAAAGTAAGGGTGAGAATGAACTTAGACTTGCAACAAATGTTAAAAATATAGGCAGTCGTTGACTTACAAGCACAATTGAGCCCCAAATTTTTGTTGCTAAGTGAAACAGTGAATTTTGCCCATTGTATTACCTTTTTTAACCACAGTTGTTAAGTGAATCACTCCAGGTATTAAGTTAGTAACGCAGTTATTAAGTGAATCTGGATTCCTCATTGACTTTGCTCATCAGAAGATTGCAAAAGGTGATTGCATGACGCCGGGACCCTTGAACTGTCATAGGTATGAATCAATTGCAAATGTCTGAATTTTGGGAATGCTACAACGGTCACAATGTGAAAAACAGTCATAAGTCACTTTTTTCCATGCCTTTGTAACTTGAACCCAGGGGTGGGATTCTACCTGGACAGTCTGGTTCTATAGAACCGGTTGTTATGATTCTGCCCAGTTTGGAGAAACAGAAAATCGTGCCACTGGCTGACCCCGGCCCAACCCACTCACTCCTTACCTGGCATGCACACCATCCAACTTGTCTGCGTTTGGTAAGTTGCTATTTTTCCTTTTTTTCCTCCCGACCATCAGCTGTTCTGCTGTGCCGGGAGATTTAGATTAGCTAGAAAGCAGGAAATCGTTGGATTTCTTGCTTTCTAGTTAATCTAAAAGCAGAGCCGAACCTTCCTTAGGGCCGAAGCGTCTGTTTTTCAGTGCAGACTCAGGTAGCCGATTGCAGAATCATAGATCTCTAAGTGAATCTGTGATTTTGTGAGCAACTCAATCTGCCTGCCTGCTTTGCCTGGTTTTGGGTAAAAGTTGCTCTTTTTTTATGAAAAATTCAATATTTACATAAATATTTATAATATTTACATACAAGTGACATCCAGCTAGTCACATGACCACCAAGCCTTGTTTCTGACTTGTCCACCAAGTCAGCAAGCCATTCCCACCCAGTCACATGATCACCAAGCCATGCCCACAAATTAGGCCATGCCCACAGAACTGGTTGTTAAGAAATTTGAAACCCACCCCTGCTTGAACCCTCACTAAATTAACTGTTGTATGTCAAGGACTACCAGTATTTCTTTTTTTTTAAAAAAAGTCTTTCAACATGTAAAAAAAAACAAGAAAAAAGTCAAGGAAATGATTGGTGCACTAATGGAAGAAGATGGCAAAGAAGTGACAGGCAGCAGGAACAAAGCAGAACTGCTTAATTCATTCTTTGCCTCTGTCTTCAAACAAAAGGAAAAATAGATTCCTTCTGATTAAAAGCAGAACAGTAAAAGAAAAATTTGAAAAGTAATGCATTTAGCCTGTACTGTATTTAGGTAATTATTGAATATGGGATTATCATACTCCATATAGTATCATCACGTACAGAGTCTCTGGCGTGATCCATACTTTTTTGCTCAGTCATCCAGCATGAGGACAGGCATTTAGTGTTTGGGGAGGTGGGAGCAGATCACATCATCCTCAGCCTGTCCTGAATTGCCATTGAAGTGTTGTGTCCAGGGGTGGGCTACTGGGGGTTCACAAGGGTTCAGGAGAACCCCTAGCTAACATTCTGCACAGTTTGGAGAACCCCCCCCCAAATCCCATTCTTAGCTGGCACTAACTAGCACTAGCACTTAGACTTGTATACTGCTTTTATAGTGCTTTCCAGCCATCTCAAAGCAGTTTACAGAATCAGCATATTGCCCCCAACAATCTGGGTCCTCATTTTACCCACCTTGGAAGGATGGATGAGTCAACCTTGAGCCTGGTGGGATTCCATCTGCCAAATTGCAGTAGGAGTAGCTTGCAGTACTGCACTCTAACCACTGCGCCACTGAGGCTCCCTACTACCTACCCCGCTCCTCCCTGGAGTCCCCACGTGGCCCATTTTGGATGCAGGTAAGTGCAGGGCACGGGTGGAGGCTCGGGGAGGTTGAAAAATGGGCCTCCCATAAGTACGGGAAAGCCAGAAATGGGCCCATTTCCAGCTTCCAGAGAGCCTTCGGAACCAGGGGTGGGATTCAAATTTTTTAACAAGCGGTTCTGTGGATGTGGCTTAGTTGGTGGGCGTGGCTTGGTGGTCATGTGACTGGGTGGACATGGCTTGGTGATCATGTGATTGGCTGGGTGTGGCCAACTCAATATCACTCACATCAAGGCATGCATCTCCTCGCCTGGCCTCTCATGACTGTGGGGATGCTGCAACAGTTGTAAGTGTGAAAAATGGTCATAAGTCACTTTTTTCAGTGCCATTGTAACTGTAAATGGTTACTCCACACAAGCAAAGTACCAGCAAAGGAGGGGGGAAAAAACTCCAGAGAAATTCCTGAGACAGGAAGTCTAGTCCTGCCAAGAATGTAATAAGGGTTAACAGAGAGGCAGTTTCTGTAAGCAACACCAGAATGTTTCCTTCCTGCCTTCCTTACAGGATTAGGCCAGTAATTTATTCTAATAACCAGTTCTCCAAATTGCTTCAAATGTTAACAATCGGTTCTAGCGAATAGGTGCGAACTGGTAGAATCCCATCGCTGTCTGGAGCCCGGGGAGAGCAAAAGTGCCCCTCCTACCGTCATGCAGGAGGACGACTAGGCCACACCCACCATGGCCACGCCCACCCAGCAACCAGGCAGAGAACCCTTTGCTAAAATTTTTGAAGCCCACCCCTTTTTGTGCCCCCAAATAAAAAATACCGTTTTCCTCTCTGCACTGGTGCAAGCAGAGTTGACTTATCCCACTTCATTCTGGCCTACACAAATGCCTCCACCGCAATTGGTTGATGTGTGCTTTGGCAGGCACTTCGTCTACCCGTGCCCTCTGCCTTCAAAAGTCTCCCCTGGACTGCCTGACCTGAAAGGATGGGCCTTGGTTTGTCTGTCTTTTGTTTGTTAGGCTCAATAGCAAACTGGAGAAATGCTGACTAGTTTCGTTAGCTTGCTTTTAATTGGTCATTTTTGTTATAATTTTATTAAACTTATGAAAATCCAAAATCCAAACGAAAATATTGGAGAGGGGGTATGTGTGTGGGGAAGAGAGAGAGAGAAAGAGAGAGAGAGAGAGGGAGAGAGAGAAGTGTGGGATAAAGGTAAGAAAAAAGAAAGAAAAGCATTAACATCCAACTCTTTTCAGTGCAGCAGAATAAAAATACTTCGATGTTTTACTTTTGCATACTTAATATATACTAGCCATTTCTCTAACAACAAACCTGTTTAATCAGCAAATCCCAAAGTCAACGTTTTATTTTTGTTCCTATCCCAAGCACAAAATCTAAAAGCAGCTTCCAAACAGAAAGGAAGCTGGATGCATTCTTTTCTTGGATTAAAGCACTTATTTTAGCCATCTCTGCTAGTTCCTTCTTTCCCCCCCCTCCCAGTTCCGCTAAGTTTCCCTGTTAGACCAAGTGACATGTTTGGACTGAAAAACTCTTGACCTTTCTTTTCTTATCAATCCTTCAAAGACATTGCCACAAATAGAAGGGTTGTGTACTTCCTGGCTTGGGTGGGAAGGAAAAAGAAGTTGAGGAATCTATGAGTCAGGAACTGATTACAGTTCAGAGACAGCTCCTAGCCATCACTGTGTTAAATGCAAAGGAAGGAGTTGAAACCCACAAAGAAATACTTTAAACCAGGGGACAAACCAGCAAAACAAAACTGGCTGAGGAATTCTGGGAGTTGAAGTCCACAAGTCTTAAAATTGCCAAGGTTGGAGAGCACAGGTGGTATTCAGCAGATTCTGACCAGTTCCAGAGAACCGGTAGCGGAAAGTTTGAGTAGTTCGGAGAACCGGCAAATACCACCTCTGACTGGCCCCGCCCCCATCTATTCTCTGCCTCCCGAGTCCCAGCTGATTGGCTGGGTCTTCTTTGGTTGCCCTGCACAGGAGAACGGAGCTGGAAAGCAGGTTAGTGGGGTGGGGAGGGAATGGGATTTTGCAGTAACCCTCCCCCACGAGTAGGGAGGGAATGGAGATTTTACAGTATCCTTCTCCTGCCATGCCCACCCAGCCATGCCCACCAAGCCATGCCATGCCCACCAAACCATGCCCACAGAACCGGTAATAAAAAAAATTGAATCCCATCATTGTCGGAGACCCCTGCCTTAAACCATCTTGACTTCTAGCCAGTTTAGCATGGGAGACAAGCAGCTGAAGGCTGTACTAAAGGAACAAAAAGTCCTTTGTTTAAGTCAAGATGGGGAAAAAAATCTTTCTTATCTTTTCAAGGCTGCATTTAAAGTATTTCTCCTACTATTTCTTCTACTTTTACCTTATCATACAATATCTTTTAGAAAGAAAACATGTTCTATACTAAGATGGCCCAATTCAGGTCTATAAAAAAAGGCCATTAAAAAGTTTCCAACTTCAACATTTTATACCTGTGTTTGTAAAGACCCAGACTGACACATTTTCAAACTATATTCTTTCTTCCCATAGCTTCATGGCTATTGAATCAAGGATTCTGTAATACAGTTGAGGTTCTTTTCAAGAATTGCTTAGTTTGCATCTAATGTGCTTTTCAACTAGAGACTGTTAAAAACACATCAAGAAATTAACTTTTTCACAGAGGACCCCATGTTATTCAACAGAATCATAAAATCATATGATCCTATGATTCTAAGAATCATTAAAGAGCAAGTAGATGGGAGATATGCAATAGCTATGATCTTATACAAATACTAGCTTGATACCCGTGCTTCACTACAAAACTATGTGGTTGGGCTTAGTTTTTGGGGAGGAAAATAAGGAAAAAAATCCGTCTACTAGCATCCATCGGTATTCATTTGGGTAGCGTCTGTCAGTGTGTGTGAGAGTTCAGGGCTCTTTGGAAACTGAAAAAGTATTTACTGTGTGAGCAAGGAGACAGCAAGGAGCCTGGGAGTGGCTTAGCTCAATTGTTCTGTACTAAAGCTGGTTGCTGCTGTTAAACTGAAACTGAAACTCCTCTCCTCTGCTTGTGTTTTGCATTTGGAACAGATATTTTTTCAGGTGGGGAGGAGGAATAGAACTCCTTAGCATCAGAGCGTGTTAATAATAATATAGGAAATACTAATGCTCTGATGGTCATTTCAAAAAATCCTTTCTCAATGAGCACCTAGAAGCCAAGAGGAACATATGTGCCAAATTTCAAGTTTGTAGGCTTTACGGTTCTGGAGATTTTGTGTTGATGCGTGAGTGGTATTTCACTTTTATATATAGAAATAGATTATACCCATTTGAAAGAAACAAGCAATTAGAGTATCTTTCTCATTGCATAATTCCACCTTAAATCTTTCTTTCCCTGTAGGGTCTTGATGGCCTAAATGGAGTTAAAGGTGACCAAGGAATGCCTGGACCTCCTGGTCTCATCGGTCCAACTGGACTTTCAGGATTGACAGTAAGCACACCAAATTATTTTTCTAATTAAAAAAAACCTCTGCCATTGCCATCAAGAAAGTCAACAAATACAAATCATTTAAGAGATAAAAGCAATATGCCTTGAGCAAAACAACTTGCCTTGAACTTTCTTCCTTAGCTGACGTTCAGATAGCCAGTTAAGGCCACTCAACATATTTGTGGCCGGATTCCTTTGAACGAAGATCTGCCGAGACCAAAATCTCCAAATACCCATTTCTCTACATAGCTTCATGCTATTGCATGACCTAGAGATTCCTCATGACTGTCAGTTTTCACAAGTTGTAAGCAACAACTGCAAAGCAGGCATTGAGAAGGAACAAAGCGTACACAGGGTGTATGGCAAGAATATCCCTAGGTTTAGAAAGTGATTGTTGCAGGATTTTTTTTTTCAAGATTTCAGATTGGGTGCTTCCCTTCCATATATACATTATAGTTTAAAGACATTCCTTGAATTAAATAGAATGCTAGTTAATCATGATAGCCAGTGAGGCATTTAGTGTTATTCTAGAACAAGGGCGTTCAAACTTGGCAAGTTTAAGACTTGTAGACTTCAACTCCCAGAATTTCCTAGCTAACATGACTGGAGAAGGAATTCTAGGAGTTGAAGTCCCCAAGTCTTAAAGCTGTCAAGGTTGAAGACCCCTGTTCTAGAAGTATCCTAGTGATTGCATTTTTATTTACTTCTTCATGGTATCTTCATCTAAATTTTTGGCCATCTTGAAATTTCACTGCTATAATAACTTGGCATGGATGCTCTTTTTTTATTACAATATTGTATTCACAGGGAGAGAAGGGAGAACCTGGAGAAAAAGGAGATACCGGGACTTCAGTAAGTGATCCTACCACGTTATTTTTTTAAAACTGTAGACAATCTCCTTCTTTCCCTAACTATAGCTCAATTTTCTTCATCCCTTCTTTCCAAATACTATTTTCACAATGATAGGTTTAATTTCTACGCAATAATTTTGAGGAAGGGGTCAGGTTACTGCTTTTATTTGCTGAGCATGAAAGTGAATTATTACGTCAATGACATTTGCTTTTCTATTTGGCTCTTAGGTAACTGGTCCACCAGGGCCTCAAGGCCCACCTGGAAACCCAGTAAGTCTTTTCTACAAAGAAAATACAAATGTTTTTTTTTCCTTTTTCTAAAGTATTTCCTAATACCATCTATTTATTGTGACAAAATTCTCCACCAAATACATTGACCTAAACCAGGAGTGTCAAACAAGGCCTGGGGGCCTGGGGGGTGCTTAATCTAGCTCACGGGGTTACCCTGGAAACAGCAAACGACCAGCCCGTGGTGCCTCTGCCAGCAAAAATGGAGGTTGGGAGCTCCGTTTTTGCTGGCAGGGGGTTGCAGGAGGCCATTGCAGCCGAAAATGGAGCTTGGGAGCCCGTTTTAGCTGGCAGAGTGCTCGGGCCACCACAGGGCCCCTCAACACAAGGGTTGTCATGCTGGCCCCACCCACCATGGCCACACCCCCCCCAGCCCCCCCCCCCCCGAGGTCAAACACAACCCTGATGTGTCCCTTAATAAAATCGACTTTGACACCCCCTGGCCTAAATCAAAATGCTGGTTTTTGAAGGTGTAATAACTGATAATCACTAGAAGTACAACTCTCTCAGTGTGGTCTGTAGCTTTTAGCATGGGGAATAGCCAGATCTTCAGTAGCTTCCTGAATGTCATCACAGTGGGAGCCATCTGGGTCTATGGGGTATCATTCCAGAAGGCAGGAACCATGATGGAGAAGTCGCACTTTCTAGGTCCTGCTTAATCATTAGGACCTAAAGTGTATTTGTTCTTCCTGATTGCAGCAGATAAGTGGAAGTAACCAGAGATTCATGTTCCTTCAAGCAGCCAGGCCCTCTGCCAGGAGAGCCTGTAGAGATGATAACCAGTAACTTGAGTTGCATTCAGAAACTTAACTGGTGGCCAATGCAACCCACAGAGCAGGAGGTCACATGGACATTAATGAGGCATACTGATCACTGTTTACCCTACTAGAGGATCAAGAAGCATTAGTGGGAGTCCTGTTTAGGAGCATGGAGAATATTCAAAAAAGTGACAGTGGCAGTGACCAGAATGTTTAGCTCCACAAAATTCCAGAGTACACACACCAGGGGTGAGATTCAATTTTTTTAACAACCGGATCTGTGGGCATGGCTTAGTTGGTGGGCGTGGCTTGGTGATCATGTTATTGGCTGGGCGTGGCCAACTCAATATCACTCACATCGAGGCATGCATCTCCTCGCCTGGCCTCTCATGACTGTGGGGATGCTGCAACAATCGTAAGTGTGAAAAATGGTCATGTCACTTTTTTCAGTGCCATTGTAACTTTAAATGGTCACTCCACACAAGCAAAGTACCAGCAAAGGAGGGGAAAAAAACTCCAGAGAAGTTCCTGAGACAGGAAGTCTAGTCCTGCCAAGAATGTAATAAGGGTTAACGGAGAGGCAGTTTCTGTAAGCAACACCAGAATGTTTCCTTCCTGCCTTCATTACAGGATTAGGCCAGTAATTTCTAACAACCGGTTCTCTGGACTGCTTAGAATGTTAACAACCGGTTCTAGCAAATAGGTGCAAACTGGTAGAATCCCACCCCTGACACACACACACACACACACATGTATATATACACACACATTACGTATGTATGTATGTGTGTGTGTATGTATGTATGTTTGTATGTATGTATGTATGTATTAGAATGTAGTCCAGAGTTGCAGGAGGAACAAAGAAACAACATAGTTTGGAATCTTTGGTATGAAGGAAAAGTGCAAAGATGGGTGCTCCTTAGCAGTTCACAAGGTATATCTAATAGTTACGTAGATCTGTGCTTTAGTCTGGGAAGAATTTTATCTATAGGCAGCCAACAATAAAGAAACTATTCTGAAGTAATTTCCCGTGTCTTCCTTGGTTCCTTGGATTTGACAATACGGGAATTACAGAAATCACAATGAACATTCCATGATTTATTTGTTGTATTCAGATGCTTTAAAATGATTTGCCAGTAGGGTTAATTAACAAAAGCACTTTATTATTGAAATAATGCAGTTATTTTCCATAAAGAGTGGGTATGCAAGCAAACATAATGCAGACGTTTCCTCCATATTATGACTCAGAATGTTAGCTAGCACAGGGAGTACTTGTCTAATGATCACTTGTTCAACAATCCTTTGAATTTACAATGACATTGTGTGTGTGGTACTGACCCTTGTAGTTGCAGCCATCACAGTGCCCCTGAAGTCACATGATCATGACCGAGGTGCTCAGTAACCAGCCCACATTTCTGACCACTGCATTATCCAGTGGGCACCTAATTATAATTTGCGATCTTCTCTGCTAGCTTCCCACAAGCCTGTGTGCTTAATGACCCACACAGTCCTCACTTAACGGCAATCAGGACTGCCCAAATTGCCATTGCTGAGAGGCATGGTCACATGACATCATGCTCAACAACCACACCATATAGTGATGGATTTTCCCAAATTACTGTTTCTAAAATAGGGCTACCTGTAGAACAGAGATTCTAAAGCTGTAAGTAATTTGGGCATGTCCTGTGGGTAATGAAAAGATTTTATAATTGCTTGTTTGTGAGTCAAAGGTCCAGTTTGGGACTGCTACTGCCAAGACACTTGTATAAAGCAATTGAGTCTAGTGGGGTTTTTTTTGTGGGAATAAAAATTTGGTGGGAAAAAAGGATAATTGGGCCAAACAGCTTAAGAATGACAATAGTAGAGAAAATCTGGGTGTCTTTATACTGCTAGAATGTTAAGTTGAAAGAAAATTATACCAACTTTTTTTTAAAATTCCAATTATAGGGTCTTCAAGGGCTACTGGGACCTAAGGTAAGAAGGACACACAATCAAACTAAACTTAAGTAGGCACCTTATAGAAAATATTTTGTCTGCTGTTCTAAAAGAAAAATTATGGCTTTGCATATTTTGGAGCAGGAGCAATCAACCTTTGACTGTCTCAAAATATTTCTCCCTATTTCTTGCTATTGCTTAAACCTCCTAAGGATTTTGAGGGTTGGTATTCATAATGCCTACAGTGCTGTGGATTGCCCATCCTTGAGTTTTTTTCAAGTATTTGTTATATCCTTGCATAGCGTATGTAAGAATATAAAACAGGTAAACCCTTTTAGATCTATTACGTGTGAATTCCCTATATTAGTGGAGGAGGAGGAGGAGGAGGGTGATGAGGAGGTAGAGTCCTATTTTTCATAATCTTGATCTGCTGGATCACTGGCAACTATATTCTAATAAAGGGCCATAATGTCCAGAAGAGATTTCTCAGAAAAATCGCCCCTTTTTAATTTGTGAAACTTTGCAACTGTATTTTACACTACAGTTTATACACTTCACTGTATTTTCACTTTTTTTTTCTTTGAATGAACATTCATTTGGGAAAAAAATAGTCAAATAGTTGCACAATGGCATTTGATTTCTAGGGCTAGAATCCAAAAACAACCCAGGGTTTGGGAACTTCCAAATAGGCTGATCTGACTAAAATCTAGCCTGTTTTATACTGAGAATGTTGGCCTGTACCATCACTCCTTTTTCTACGTGCATTCACATCCACCGTGTCATCCCCCTTCCAAGTATGCATCATTATGGAAAATATAGAAAAGGGTTAGGAAAATGTAAGAAGTACGTAAAGACATGAAAAAAAGGAAATGAAAATCTAGTCAGTGATTCCCAACTTTGGCAAGTTTAAGCTGCTTGGAATTCCAACTCCCAGAATTCCCCAGCCAACCTAGCTGGTTAGGGAATTCTGTGAGCTGAAGTCCATGCAGCTTAAACTTTATAAGATTGAGAAATACTGATCTAGTTTATATCAAGAACATTTACTCTCGATGTCTTTCTATTGTGCAAATCATCAGGTTTGGATCCTGTTTGTATTCCCTTCTTCACATGCCATCTTTTAAACTTCTGTCTTTTTGAGGATTTCATCGACTCGTGACTGTTTCAATAACCCGCTTCCTTTCGATCCATTTACTCTTCTCACTATATAAGCAAACCATCTTCTCCTTTTATAGTTAATCCATGTTTGCTCAACATCCATTTATTTTTTACACTCTTTATCTTCAGGTTTTACTACACAAACGTCTCAAGTATTCTGTTCCTACTGCATTCAACATTTACATTTCTCCTGACAGATCCAGCTCTAACCTCAAAAAAGGGGCAGAAATGTAGTCATTTCCATTTCTCCTTTCATGTTCATTTCTTTCCACAAATGTTTATTGCTCACAATGAACGATATACTCTCCTCCACCTTTATATATAGCATTTATTTTTCCTAAAATTTCTCTAGATTTTCTTATTTCTGATTAACTTCCTATCAAGGCAAACAAATTAATGGGTTTGCTCCAGATTTTTTTTTGCCCTTTATAGATCATGTCCTGTCTTTCATTCCATTTCTCTTTTCAGACAGAAATACGTAAGGCTGTATGCATACTCATTGCATTATTCAAATCTGTGCAATATTCACTGTAATTAATGTTGGCACTGTCTACATATTTAAGTAGATGTACAGCCACAATTAATACATTCCTAATATCACTTCTAATATCAATACACCATGAACATATAAGCACATAAAAAAGCAAGAGGAAAATCACACATCCTTATCTTACTGCCTGCTGATGTTTAACCATTTACTAAGCAGTCCATTTATTCTCATAAACAATTTATTTCAATCATAGACTATTCTTTACTTATTCACTAATCAACAATCAGATCCCTATATGCCAGATTCCATCATTAACATTACTTCTCTGAGCACTCTCTATATCAATAGATACACAAATAAGCATATCCCAAATGTGGCTCATTGCTAACTTTCATACTTTTTTTTAATAAGAGCTGAACTCCTTCTTGGTTAATAAATAAATCTTTCTGTACCTTTTGTGTTCACTTTTGCTGCTTTTCGTTCTATCTAAAGGAGCAATATTAGCATCTTTCCAGTTTGAAGGCATAGATGCAGCCTCCACATCTACTTTATTTAAATTACAAATCCATTCAATAAACAAGCAATATCCCTATTTAACCTAACTTCAAATATACTGTCCACATCTACCTGCATTTTCACGATTTTGAATGTTCTCACACCATTTGTTATTTATTTTTCATCTTTTTTTTCTTACATATTTGCCTTTCTAGCATTCATTTCAATTCTACTGACATCACTATAATTCCTGTACAAATCTCTGAAATTCTTCATCCAACTTTCCCTGTCTTCATTTCCATCCCAAATCATTTTATTACTTTTATTTTTCATTCCACTTGTTTTCCTGGAGCTTCCTTCTTAATCCCTTTCCAAGCAATTTTTTTTTAAAAAATCCATTCAAATGATGCTGCATCTTCTCTTACCCGTAATCATTTCTGTGTCAGTTTTGGAAGCCATGTTAGTACCAGACGTTTCCACACTGCCCCATTCTTGAGCCTGGGAAAAAGGGAGGGGGGAATTTCTTGGAGTGTATGTGGTTAGACATAATTGCATTCTTCTTCTAAGTCAAGGTCATGTTATTTCTGCACCTGGTTGAGAGGAAGTCTCAAGCTGAGACGAATGGTGATTGGGGCATGTGATGCAATGACAAGCACATTAACTTAACAACCATGTCACTAGCTTAACAATTGCAGTGATTCACTGTGGAAAAATGTCATAAAATGGGGCAAAGTCACTTAAAACTGTCTTGTTTAGCAATGGGAATTTTGAAGTTAAGTTAATTTAAGTTAACAAATAATTCCCTCGACACTGTCCAACTATTTACAAAGTCTGCACTACTATTACTGTTAACCTTCTCATCACTCCTTATCACCCATCCCTTCCCACTTGTGATTGTAGGACTGTAAACTTTGTCGCTTGTATCCTTACAATTTATATTGACTGTTTCCTAGTATGATTTGATTGCTTATTGTACCCTATGACATTATTAAGTGTTGTATCTGATGATTCTTGACTCTTGATAAATGTATCTTTTCTTTTATGTATACTGAGAGCATTTGCACCAAGACAAATTCCTTGGGTGTCCAATTACACTTGGCCAATAAAGAAGTCTATTCTATTCTAATTCTGATCATAACTTGAGGATTACCAGTATCTTTCTTTATTTCTCATTCCTCCTTTTTTTGCAGTAATCATTTTTCATGTACCTTTTTTCTCATCCACCATCTTTTCCCATCAACATCCCACAAAGCATCCTTGTCCAGATGTCCCAGGAGCATCACTCCACTCTCTGCCTTTCAAACGGCTTCCATATCTTCTTCCTTATGTCGGAACGAAGACCCCTTTATTACCTGTGGACTTTGACTGCCTGCTGGCTCAGGAATTCTGGGAGTCAAAGTTCACAGGTTGTAAAGGGGCCATCATTCCCCACCCCTGCTTTATGTATATTTTCCATTCATTCTCATGGAAGATTCAGTTATCTTTTCATACAGGAGTTGAAAGTTCTCTTTTTTCCAGTCCTTAGCAAAGTTAGCAGAATGTCATCTTGTCATTGCTATGAATGAATGAAAAACTGCTGGTGACCTTCTACCACTGCACCATAAAGAGTATCTTAACTTGCTGCACCTCTGTATGGTTTGCCAATTGCACAGGGGCAGATAGGACAGCACTCCAGAGGGTTAATGTCATTGTCAAGAAGATCATGGGTTGCCCTCTCCCCTCTTTGGAAGAGCTTTATAGCTCCCGCTGCCTTAAGAAAGTTCAGAACATTCTCAAAGATCCATCTCATCCTGGGAACCCTTTTTTTGAACTATTACCATCTGGCAGACGGTACAGAATAATAAAAACAAGGGCAAACAGGCTGAAAAAACAGCTTCTATCCCAGGGCAGTAGCTCTGTTGAATTCTGCTGTACAGTGCAGTGTTGGTGCGGTGTCGGGGGTTTTCAATTCAATGTGTGGAGGGTGAAGGATGTGTGTTTGTGTTTATTTTCATGGTCATGATGTGCACTGAAGACGGTGTTTGATTTTGTTGTATGAGGTGCAATGACAATGAAGTAAACTAAACTATGCAAATGCTGTTGGGATTTCACCAAGTACTTTCCTCTGTAATTAACTCCTATTTAGAAACCTACTGGAGAAGAATTAGCTTTCTTCTGATGTGTTTTTCTTTTAGGGAGAAGCAGGAATTGATGGATTAAAAGGTGAAAAGGGTATCCAAGGAGAAAAAGGAGATCGGGGTCCTCTGGGGCTGCCCGTAAGTATCTAAAAAGAAGGGGAAATTAGAACAAGAAATGACAATGAATACAACTCACGAAAGAGCACAGATATCGCGCAGAGAAGCATGTGACTTTAGAACGATATCTTGATTTTGAAAAAATCCGAGAAAATTCCTCCAGATAATTATCACTTGGGTAATGTTGACATCAAGAAAAGTGCTTCATAGGATTGCGACATTATTTTATTCATAATCATGGGGAAAAGGTCTCAAATCCTAGTTCAGATGCTGAGATATGCAAGAATTAACAAGAAATTACTCACAGGATTCATTTATTCACAATAACATGGGAGGAGGGGAAGACTGGCAACAACAAAGAGGAACTATCTGGTACAGTTTTCTTCCTGAGTTCAGGAACTGATATTTAGTTTGGATTCCTTATTTAAGAAAAAGAAAAATCTTATCCAGGAATTTTCTATTTGACATATGTGTTAATTCACAACTACATTTAGCTCATTTCCCCCACATGCAACTTTTTATATTTTGCTCACAACAAAGAGACTCTCTCTAGGCTCTTGTGCAAGCCCAGACTTTATAATGGTTTGCTGCAGGTAGACCTCAGTTAACAATGACAATTGGGACTAGGATTTCTATTCCTAAGTGATGCACAATTTCACCCGACCACGTTGCTTAGCAGCAGCAGTTCTGACATTTCCTGGTTGCCATCTGTAAGGAAATCCCACATTGTCATTAAGCAAGGACGTCACATGGTCATCACTTGAGACTTCCTGCCAGCTTCCCCATTGACTTTGCTGGAATAGAAGGTTGCAAATGGTGTCCAGGTGATTTCAGGAAGCTGTGACATCATAATAGCAACCTGGGTGCCAAGCACCCAGATTACAATCACATGATCACTGGGATAACTGCAACAACTGATCCTTCATGGATCTGTCATAAGTATCACTCATGCAGCACTGTGGCAAGTTTGAACAGTTGCTGAATGGGTGATGGTTAAGCGAGGACAACCTGTATTGGTGAACTCAACCACTGCATGTTGGTGGCGGTGGCAGACAACATTGTCATAGGCAGTTACAGCTGGGATATCCACTTCTTTTCTTCTTCTTTTTTTACAGTCATGAGGCGACATCAGTAAGATGGACAGACAGTTGGTAGATACTGAACAATTTTCTTATTGAGATCATTGCTTTGTAGCAGTAGAAACACAGTGCAACTAAAAAGCTGGAGAAATTTGAAAATCAGCAGCACTAGTGCTGGTCTCTCTGCCAAAACTGTTAGCTTCACATCTCTAACAGGATGGGATACCCCTTGTTTGCCTGTCAGTGGCAATGCTAACATATTTTTGAAGGAGGAAGGTTGAGCAAAAACTCCCTTTACAGAATAACAGAGTAGCAAAGTTGGAAGATCCCTTGAAGGTCTTCTAGTTCAACTTGGAAACCAAACAACTAGAATGAATTAGACAATTAAAATTAGATGAATGAGAGAATGAATGAGAGCGTTAATCCTGAATGGATTACAAAACAAATTTAGAGCTGGAAATACAAACCTTATTGTTTTACAAAGAAAGAAGGCACTAAAGGATTGGACAAGGGAACACTCTTTACAGTATATATTTTCCCCTATGCACTCTTTACAGTATATATTTTCCCCTATGCACTCTTTACAGTATATATTTTCCCCTATGTATGTATGTAGATACCTTGCTCTTAATGCATATTTATTTTAAGGACCAGTTCAAATTATAATATTAGAATTTGTATGTTCTGGTCTTGACCCAGTCTACTTATACTCCTAAGTGGGAATCTGTAGCACAAATATTTATTCTTCCAGTTCAATTAAATTCAAAATGGAAGCGTGATGTGATGCCGAATCAGATGTAGATCAGTATTGGCTGTTTTGTGGAAGGTTGCTTCCCACTTGTTAAGTATCGCTTACTTCCTGGTGTAACTGGTGTATTTTTATAGAGATCTTAATGTGCTAGGCTGTGTGTCTTACATTGGGAAAAACTATTGTTCTTCTATTGAAAGCAATGGGAAATGGAAAAGAAAGGACCTTTGGTGGCTTGGAATGTTAATAAATTCAGGTCCTTGAGGGAAATGAAAGTCATATTTAAAGAAATGGAGAGAAATCATCTTCATCACATTAAAATTTTTGCTGAATTCTTGCACTATTCAGAGAAAAGAGAAAGGAAAGTAGTCCTCAGTTAGCAACAACAATTGGGACTGGAATTTTGCTGTCAATCACAATTTTATGAATGGGACAGTAATTAGGCCAGCATTAGTTTTTCTTCCTTTTCCTTCTTAAAAATAGAAATATCAGTAGCTGTTGCAGTGTTTCAAGTTTCTTCCAATATTGTGTAGGGCTAGCCTACTTGGACTCCAGAATTCCAGATGACCACTAGATGCTAGCAAAGAGTTAGCATTTTATTTTTTATTTTACTTGATTGTTTATTTATACTATTTATAGAGCCACCCATCTTTCAGTCAACTGGGCAGCTCCTAATGTCTGAAGTTTTACAGCACAAATATAATAGATCTAGGATTTCAATCTCAAGAAAAACCAAATGCATTATCTGTGAAAGGATAGTTTATTCAGAAGCAAACATTATAAACATAGTGAACATAGTTTCCTGTTTTATAACTCAGAAAAGCCTTGGAAGTAAGGAAAGGATTTGCTTTGCAGAACTTAAAACCAGAAAAACAATTGAGGTAAAGGAGAATCATTGAAAATTGGGAAGTAAAGGTAAAGGAGTCCCTGTGGATTTTACTTGTTAGTCATTGCCAACCATAGGAGGAGGCAGTGCTTATCTCCATTTCAAGGCCATTGAGTCAGAGCTGTCCGAAGACATTTCCAGGGTCATGTGGCTAGCATGATGCCACAGAGTGCAGTTATCTTCTGACCAAAGTGGTACCTATTTATTTACTCACATTTGCATGCTTTCGAACTGCCTCAAACCTGAGCTGCTGGCTTTCTAGCTAACAAGCTCAGCATCTTAACCGCTGAGCCACTGCACTGCCAGATAGATAGATAGATAGATAGATAGATAGATAGATAGATAGATAGA